TTTTAGTGACTAACAGTAGTTCTTGAATAAGTGTAGTGGTAATCCAACAATAGCCCACCTTGGATGATGAAACATTTCAGGAGGCAAGGGAATGAAATTTAAACTAAGGGATATTCATCTCTTTATAGAAAAACTCAACTTTGTATCGCTAGACTTCCTTAAGCGACCAAGGCTGACTAAATCCTTCTTTAATAGTTAGTGATAGTCGTGAAATCTAAATACTCACGACAAAACTCAGATAACTTGTATGCTTTTGTATCACTTATCTTATGCCGCCGGACAATTTGCTTGTGTTCGGACTCGTCAATAAACCTTGCCATTCTTAGCCTCACACTATAACTCGTCAAAAAAAAGAGTAAAGCCGATTTTTTTACCAATCGTATGCTAAACATTCGTGTTATATCTCTATCCGCCACGGGCTAATTACCAATCCTATATCTTCGCATCACATATTTACTATCATAATTTATTTCTTCATTTGCTTATTTAAATAAAGTTTGGTGCGACCTTTTAAGGGGATTTCGTGCAAACTCTTTACATCTCACGCTGGTTTGCTCCCTGGTTCGATTATTTCACTCGAACTCTGCCCCCTATCTGTGCTAATCGATTCGTTATTTCCCCCACTATACATCTGGAAGACTAACCTGAAACTAAAGACCTCGAGTAATTCTCACAGTCAAGCCTTAGCTTCATGGACCACGGCTATGATGAAACACCCTTACTATTAGTCAACTAGCTCTAATCTCTGCCGCATATTTTGTGCTTGTATACATATTACTAAGTCTATGACTTCCTATGCTCTGTGCTCTTGTGCATCAACCCACAAATATTGTGGTTCCACATTGAACCTAATAAATGCTTGTAGCACTACAACATCTGTGGGTTGGCACACAAGAGCATAGAGCATAGGAAGTCATAGACTTGGTAATATGGATAGAAGCACGATATATGCGGCGGTGCTTAAAGCTAGCTGACAAACAGTAGAGGTGTTTGATCATAGGCTTGGTCCATAAAGCAAATGCTTTTCATTAGAATTACTCGGGGTCTTTAGTCTCAGTTTAGTCTTCCAGAGGCATATTGTGGAAAATAACGCCTCGATTAACACATATAAGGTGGCAGAGGTTGAGTGAAACATTAAAACCAGGGAGATAGCAGACATATCCTATGAGACAACAGCGAGACTGATAAGAACTATAGGAGGAGCACTACGTAACCATAAGAGAGAATCTGATCAACATTGCTCGTACAAGGGTGAAGGGGGATGAGAGGGTGAGAAATCCGGTGTGGGGTGTCGAAATTTCTCCCCAAATCTGCTCAAAAGTTAACACAATACCATATTTAAAGAAGCAAAGAAAGAAAAAGATTGTGATAGTGGAGAGGTGATACGAGGATATAGGATTGGTGATTAGCCCAGGGTGTAAGGAGATGTACCACGAGTGTTTATCAGACAATTGGCCAAATGATCGGCTTCACTTATCCCTTTGACGAGTTATAGTGTGGTACTAAGAATGACAAGGCTCACTGATAAGGCCGACTATGATGCCAGCGAAACGTCTGTGAATGTACCATGTCCACGGTCCAACTCTGGAAATTATCATGCATACTATGGACTCGGGACTAGGTGCGTTCCTCTAGGTCTTCCTACCAGTATGACCAAGTTGCGAAATCAAGGTCAAACAGCTTCTATACAACGAACTGATACTGCGACCATACGAAATGCCACCCAATCTTTGTCTGTATACCTTCCATAATTGTATTACTTCTGTTTTTGTCGCAGTCTTATTTTACTGTATATAAATATTCATGGGAAACTTACGATGACGAGAGGAATCAATTAATTTAATGTATGGCTATTAACTCAAAACTTCGGCACAATCTGTTCAGAATTTTTGCTTTGGAAGATTTTTAAAAACTACATAATTACGTAAATCTCGGTCTTAATAACAAAGAAATATGACTATAAGACAGCGTAAATTTAAACTGGCTCGCCCAATGGATATGGTTTCTCAGGTGATAACACCTAGTGATAAGTAGGATAATCGGCTGAAAATAGTTAATTAAGCCTCGTTTCCTCTTAATCCCGAAACCTGAATTTCTCTCTGCAAAATTACAGCAACGTTCTAGAAGACATATCTATGGAGATCCTTTACGAGATAAAACGGTAAATTGAAATTAAAATTATCCTAAGAATCTTGACACATGAACTAACAAACATTAACAAATTAGCGAGTATATACAGGACTCTACAAGAGAATGTATATTTAGCCATTCAGACAGATAAAGGAGGAATGATAGTGCTAATTGAGGAGAAACAATACACCAAGAAAGTGGAAAGTATTATATGAAATACTACCAAGTACTGTGTACCAAATTAGGACCCATCTATGAAGGTTAATGCAATCATAAGCAACATTATGAAAGTTATGCATAGGAATGGTCAGATCGACGGATGGATGATAAAGTCAATTATTAGAAAGAATGCACGACTAGCAACAGCCTTTTGATTGCAGAAGATACGCAAAGAAGAAGAACAACTAAGGCTGATATTCAATAACAAATAAGCACGCTGTTAAAAGCAGTGAACATTGATAGGAATTTTCTCATAGGGCCAAAAACATGGCACCCGATGTAAAGAAATTATTTTTAGTTTTTTTGTACAATCTATCCATAAAAACATTTCTGGATAAAAGACTATAAGAACTTTGCTGGAGAGGTTGGACCGAGAAGGGAATCGTTAGCACGACCAATCAACTTGAAAATGAAGGCTATTTTCTATAGAACCAACGTTAACAATAAGGAATAAATATTTGGGATTCCTATGAAAACATCACTCTCGCCCTTACCAAAACATTATGTATGAATAAATTATAAGTGGATTTCAAGATATCATTACTACAAACAAGAGTGCTCATGTGATACCCTGATGACCACTTCTCACTTTATTCGCATTAAAGAGAAAAATTAGGCGATTTCTTGACATTTATAAGCAAGGTGTATAAAATGATCAAATTCGCAATGAAAGTAGCGAAGGAGGAGGGTTTAGCTTTTGTGGATGTTAAGATCATTCGCTCGAATGGAGCACTCAAGAAAAGATTGTTCAGAAAGGAGTCATATGCCGAAATAATACTCAATTTCCTCTCCCATCACAACTACAGACTGAGGGGCATGGTCAACAGAAGTCAAACACTAACGGACTTGGGATTCTGGGATCATGAATTGGAAAAATTGATTTGGATGATCTTCTGGAAGGGATACCTTAGAAGGATAGTACAAATTAACATACGGACCGTGAAAAAGAGTTGGTAGGAGGAAGGTTATGAGAGAAAACTAAGACAGACGAAAAACTTACCAAAATAGATAAATCTCTCTTTCTGCAAACGAACTCAAAAACTACTGTCAATATTGAGGAAATGGAAAATTTAGGTTACCAAAAAGTAAAAATGATACTCTTCACAAGTTTGACCCAGCAACATAAGAGAGTATAAGAGTGGGATTGCCGCACTTGCAAACAGAAAAATATCTGCGAAACTTAAAAAATAATCAGCATGCTAATCGAGAAACACCAAAATCTTTGCAGGAAAATTGATAGCGAAAGATAAAAAATATTAAGATTCGAGCTACCAATAAATTATTTATAACATATATATTCATACTATCTTGTTCAACATGATGAACTGAAAGTCGAATTTTCCTACGATTGTATGAGTAAAGCTGATTCTTCAATTGAATTTCACATAGTCTTGCCTTTCTACAAAGGCTGTTTTCATCCAGGGTGGACTGCAGCTTCGACCTCGCGTAGGCCCTCTGGAATACTTGTTATCTGGTTATGATGGCACGTCTGAATGGTATTATATAACAGATCGATTCTTCAAATTCTATCATCAGTATTTGATTAAAATTGCCTATATACTTATCCTAAATTAATATTTCACTCAATACCAGATTCATTAAATAGATATTTATTAATATTAATCTGAAGTTATTTGAGCTACATTGCTCTAGCGATGGCTATTCCAAATATAATAATATTAATTATCGTAGATTTAGCAGTAGTCTCCTTTCGCTGTATAAAGACGAGCTATGACAGCATTTAAATAAGAAGTTGTAAAAATTAATAAAAATTAAATTTTTGCAGCTATTGCTCATATTGCTATGTAATCAATTATGTAATATAAAGCTTAAATACACTGTATGGAAGTGTTCTGACCTCATTTTCACAACTTAGTTGTGATGTCAGGACGACCTACTTAAATGCACATTAGCCGAATTCCTCTACTATAGTAGTTTTGATAATCCCCAGAGTTGGACCGTGGTCTTAATACATCCTCAGAAACGTAGTCATGATCGTCAGTAAGCCTTGCAATTCTTAGCACCAAACTGCAACTAATAAAAAAGACAAATTGGGTCAATCCCTTGAGCAACTTTATGCCAGAAACTTGTGGTATTACTCCTATTTATCTACTGGTACATCACCATACTATCCTATTGTCTCAATCCCCCCCTATGACCACGTCTGACTTGTTTATATTCGTCCGTTACAGAGCGTGTCTTTTTGGTGAGTTGAATGGGGCATTGATAGAATGCTTGCTTGCCTCGCCTCTCATCCAGCTCTGCCGAAATTGCTGATCAGTATGGTACAATATAGGTTCCTCAAATAATATATAAATTATGTTCATATCTATAAATTGTGTTACTATATAATTCTAGTGTAATAATTTAAAAACCTCATACTATTATTTAGACATCATAAACAACAACAAATTTACTGTTTTTTAACGAGTAATTCTCTATTATAATATTTGGGCGCCTTGTTTCAAGGCTTAGTCACACTTCTTCTACATAAGGTTGATATGGAGTTATCTAGCTTAATAAAAGTCTCCTCGATTAAAGATGTTTTTTTATATGGACCTGAGAGCCTTGTTATTCGAGGGTATCTACTTCTTTCTGCCCACCATCTCCTCATTTCTGCCGACGATGAAGAATTTTGGGTATGCCTTATCCTATTATTTTATATTTTTTAATTAAACAGATACAATTGAAAAACATTGACCATATACGAATTTTAGAACCTAATGAACGCTGGTATCACTCAGCGCACACTAAGGGCTATATTGTAGCATTATATACAAAGAACTTCCTTATTTTTGAAATAACTATTCTAAACATGGAGGATGCAACTAATTTAGTGCGGTCCGTTGAACTCCTTTCGGGCGTAGGTAAATCTAGATTTATTTTTAAATGCATATTTTTTTGCTATATAGCATTTGTTGAACTACTTACATGAAATTGATACTAATGAAATTTCCGTATTGTGTTGATGCAATCATTTACAATTTAGAATACTTTAAAAAAATATTGCTTTGCAAAATTGTTTTATCGTTATTTGTTCAAATTTTTTATATATGCATATATATATATATATATGTGTGTATATTTTTGGCCCTGATCTTCTTTTGATGAATAGTTTCTTTTATATGTATCTCTTTGAATGCTCATTTTAATTTATGTGATTATTTTTTTATTATCAGAAACTGATCTAGAAGTTTATGATGTTATTCGTCCTCTCATACTACATCCTACTCTTAACTAACATTCTCCATTAACTTTTAGACGACACTTATCTTCTCTTTCCATTCCACTTCCGCTCTGAATTCGACATTACTGAAGATGGCTGGAATATATTCTCTATGGCTGAAGAATTCGCCCCACTTTTAGTTAGTGGTGAATGGCGCATCAGCCGAGTAAACTGGGATTTTTCCGTATGTCGAAGCTATCCTCGAGAGGTCATCGTTCCCACTAGAATAACTGATGATATTCTTATCGAAGCTGCAAAGTTTCGTCGTGGCGGACGATTTCCTATTGTCGCCTACTATCATTCACCTAAACGCGTATGCCCTGTTTATCTTAGCTTCTTGTTAAACTGGGCGCTTTAATATCTCACTCTCAACATTTTTATGTTTTTACATGGCACAAGAAATTTTAATTTTATATTTTTGATGTATTATCATGATCTCTTCAAATTGCTTACGCGTTCATATATCACTTTTGATAGTATAGTCGTTTATTTTTATCTTTATTATCCTAATAAAGCCTGAATCTATTTGTGTTTAGCAAAACCTGAAATTGAAGCAAACCTCTTTTTCTAATTAACACTATTTACATAAATTACGTAATTACTGGGACTCTTCCGGTATATATGAATACAGTATCCAAAAGATGTTCCTTTCGGTTTTGCCTAGCTGCCGAACTATCTTGATAGTACGCAATTCACGCACAATTTGGTCGAGGCCATTCCGGCATATTAAGCAGTATATTTGGTGACAAGTTGTGTTTTTGTGAACCTCAGGGCATATTACATCGAATTTACAGAGACCAAGCTGGTTTGGCCCCAGGTTTACTTGCAGTTTGCTTCTATTTGATGTGCAGTTATGTTGTGAAGAGATCTATCGGTCTGTCTCACCGGAAGAAAACCTACATTTTTCTTTTACCATACGATGATTATTATAGGTTTGCATGGATATATAGGGAAGATGTGTTATTGCTTTATAATTACTTGGACGTATACTCACTTGTTTTTACTTTTAAAGATAATTATACCTGTTTATAATGCTCTTCCTTCTGCTACCCAAATTGTCCATTTTGTATCCTACACTTTAGACTGTCCTTTTGATCGCCGGTGAACCGCTAGCATCGACAAACTCCACTTTTTACTTGCAGCAGCCCGGAAATTTTACCCAGATTAGTCAACCGGCCTGGCTTGAGACGAATCAGCCCTCAACGCCTCCAGGCTCCGGACCTCGTCAGTCCTTGGCGCAGTCTACTCAGAAAGCATTATTGCTTTCTAGCTCAGCTCAATGCCCTTCCGATTCTTCCTTTTCTCCAACTACTAATGCTGCTTCTGCTCTGGTTTCCTCTCAATCCCCTACTTCGGCTAAGTCTGGTGGTCTTGAAGTAATTCGTTCCTTTTCTGCGCTCTCAGCTCTCGCTAATTTCAATTCTACCTTTACTTTGACCTCAGATTCGGTTGCTACTGAGCCTATAAAGCCTAGCGAACTGACTGAAGAGATACCAGACACAGAGCAGAAAAAAGCTCCATCATTTTCTTCTTCCAGTGGGCTCGGGATAAACTCAGCCTATGCTAGCACATCACCTCAAATCATCGGTGGCATCAACATGGCTGGAGAGACTCGATGCCGTGCGGATGAGCAAATTCTTAATGCTTGCCTTGCTTCCACGACGGTGATGCTTCAGAACTATCAGGAACAGCAAGATCATGGACAACGTCAACGGCAGAGTTCTACTCAGGACCCTTCGACTTCAAATCGATCTGCTTTATCTGATGCTCAGTCCTCAATGGGTCTCTGCAGAGGCGCTATCCTCGACGTTCGTTCTCAGTCGGAATTAAAACGGGTTCCTGCTAGTGGTATGTCTATGCTAATTTCTCTTTCTTGCCTCTGTCTGGACAGTATATAAAGCGTTTAAGTACAATACAGAGTTATGTTAAGCAATGGTATGGAGTTTGAATATAGTTTGATATTTCTCATTTGAACCAGTGATATATGGCTAAAGTAAGAAAAGAAACATGAAAATAATTTCTATATATTTCTGCAACCGATGAAATAAGCTCTTTTTTGTGTTCTTTTTATATTTTTAGGCTGGCGAGTAAAGGAAGGTGGCTGAATAATCAAGCATCAATGGCATTGTCTTTCAGTCTCTTTCCGCTTTAGCAAAATAGGCTATAGTAACAAACTTCATATTAATCTTTTATTAAGTTCTAGGTTTACTCGGCGGTACTGGATACAATATCCCTATTAATTTGCTTTCTCCTAGCTTAAAAATGGACTGTATTCACGGAATTTGAGTGTTAGCCTGTTTTATAGAAGTTGCCTGAGTTTGTTTTTGCTATCTGATCATATTGTTAGGAAGACCAAGAGGAATGCATCTAATCGGGAGTCCGTAGCGTGCATGATAATTTCCAGAATCAGGCTGTGAAGGTAGTATATTCCTGGACGTTTCGTCGGAATCGTCAGTGAGCCTTGCAACTCTTAGCAACACATTACGACTCGTCAAAGAGACAAGTAAAGCCGATCATTTGACCAATTGTGGTATCTCTCATGCCCTTTGCTATTCACCAATCTTATATCCTAGTATAGACTCTTCACTATCACAATTTCCGATTTAAATGTGGTATAGTGCCCTTTTTTAGCGGATTTCATTGAACTCCCCAAACCCAACGCTAGCTTTCTCACTCCCTCACTCCAAAATCCTCTTCCCATAGGTCTTATCAGAGTTTCCCTCTTGCTCCGTAGGATCCGTCTCCTGCATTTCTGGTTCAGGTATTTCATTTGACCCCTGCAACCCTATCTGTGCCACTCGAAGCGCTATTTCCAACTGTCTCAAGCCTTTGATGGCACGTATACTCCCGCCTCGATTAGTAAGCCCTTAAAAGTTAGGATTTTTAAGCTGAATGGGAGACTAACTTGAGGTTGAAGAGTCCGCGTAATTCTCATGATCAAGCTTGTGCTTCATGAACCACGTCTATGCTTAAACACATCTTTTGTTAGCCAACTAGCTCTAGTCGCCACCGCATCTATCATGTTCATATCGCTTATACCAAGTCTATGACTTCCTATGCCCTAGTTTCTTGTGTGCCAACCCACAAATGTTGTGGTTCTAACTTGAATTTAATCACAACATTTATGGGTTGGCCAACAAGAGACTAAGTCATAGGAAGTCATAGACTTGGTATTAGGAATAGCAACAGGATAGATGCGGTGGCGACTAGAACTAGTCGGCTAACAGGTGTGTTTGAGCATAGACGTGTTTCATGAAACAAAGGCTTAACCATGAGAAT